CTGGGAAACCTAGATAGTTGTTGGAAGTGGTGTGAGACCAACTGGGGTATTTTACCTATGGTGTGTGTGGGTTCTAATGTCCCAGCATAGTGACAGAGACCTTGCACTGTAAGAAGCACCACCTCGATTAGTTTATTTGAAATAATGCTCACACTGTGCATATCCAGCCATAATTTAATAGTTTTCAGACCCACTAAAAATGTTCAGTCTTTGTTATATAGACTGTTTATATGCTGCCATTTGCTAAAATCATTTAAGTAAAATGTTCCCTCATTAATGTACACATAGCATCTCATACTGATAGAAAAGACACAGAAATGTTGACATTTTTGCAGATTTCAAAAAAATAAAATCTGAAATATTAAATGGTTCTAACTATTCAGAACCTTTGCTGTGACACATATATTGAACTCAGGTGCTGTACATTTCTTCCGATCATCCTTGAGATGGTTCTACATCTTCATTTGAGTACAGCCTTGATTATACTGATTTGACTTGATTAGGAAAGCCACACACCAGTCTTAATATGAGCTTACAACTCACAATGCATGGGAGACCAAATGAGAATCCTATAAGATCAAATTAACTGTTTTAAGAGCTTAAAGACAGAATTGTGGCAATGTACAGATCTGGCCAAGGTTACAAAACAATTCTGCAGCACTTAAGTTTCCTAAGACAACAGTTGCCTCCATAATCCCTAAATGGAAGATGTTTGGGATGACCAGAACCCTTTCTAGAGCTGGCGTTCTGGCCAAACTGAGCTATTGGGCGAGAAGAGCCTTGATGAGGGAAGTAAAGAAGAACCCAAAAATCACAAAAGTTGTAGAAAGTTAACCATCACTGCATCCCTCCACCAGTTGGGACTGTATGGCAGAGTGGCTTGACACATGAATGCCTGCATGGCGTTTGCTAAAACACCTGAAGGACTTGAAGATGGAGAGAAATCAGATTCTCTGATCTGATGAGACTAAGATAGTACTTTTTGGGCTTACTGCTAAGCCACATGTTTGGACAAAACCAGGCACTGCTCATCACTTGTCCAATACAGTCCCAACAGTGAAGCATGGTTGTGGCAGCATCATGCTGTGGAGATGTTTTTAAGCTGCAGGGACAGGACGACTGGTTGTAATCAAAGGAAAGATGAATGCGGCCAAGTACAGGGATATTCTGGATGAAAACCTTCCATGGAGTGCTCAGGACCTCAGACTTGAAGGAGCAACAATGCCAACAATTCTGTGTTTTTCTGTCAATATGAGTTGCTGTGTGCACATATATGAGGAAAAAAATGAACGTAAATAAATGATTTTAGCAAATGGCTGCAATATAACAAAGAGTGAAATATATATTAGGGATGTAATGATACATGTATTCATCCCAGTCCCTCACGGAACAAAGCTCATGGTTTGGAAATTCAAGATATTGTCTCATCTTGTGAGCTGATAAGTCAGTCTGTGTCTGTGAGTGCCTTCTCTACACACACAAAACAACTGTTGTCTGCTGCTGTTATGGATGGGCACAGTGGGCACACTTTCATTAAAATAAATTTCAGTTTTGAAGCTTGCTGAATCTTAAAGTTAAGACACAATTATCATATATATAATTGTTTTACCCCATAAGGAGCCAAACAACCCGAAAGTTAAATTCCTAAAATTGCCCCTGGATGAAATCAAACTTTGAATGAGTTTTCTTTTATGTCTATATTTGGCACGTCTTGATTGTCATTCTGTCTGGCATCTGTCTGACATCTGAGATCTTACAGTCTGATATGGGAATCATGTTTTTGCAGTCTGACAAGCCACAATAATATAATAATATTATTATTTTTTAAATTGCACAGTATGAGCTGGACTTAATATAATTTATAAATTCAACAAATGAATATGAATTCAACAAAACTTTAGGACATTATCACTGATTACATGGACTTTATATACACTACTCTCACTCTAGTCCCCAAGACATTCAGCGCCAGTCTACCAGCTCACAAGATGGATGTTGTGTCTTCCAGCTCACAACATGGCCATTGCTGCATCCCAATTCATGTACTATCCATCCTAAATTGTATTTTAACATAGAAATAGTTTGTCCTAAGCCATAGTATGCTGAAAAGTGTATGCCAAAGGTTCCCGGATGGTTTACCACTATTTTTGGTGAAAACTGGAAGTGTAAAAGTGTCCATACTCTAACAACTAATGTTGCCCACAATACGTTGCACGTTGGACATGAATTTGATTAGACCTCCAAACTTGGGTAAAAAGTTTTTGGTTGTTTGAATGATTGTTAATCAATATTTAGCCAACTGGAACATATTTAAACTGCACTTTCCATGTTATATTTTATCTGCAACAACAATTTGAACTTATATCAGGATATGTTTGGACATTACCTTCTGAATGGTCACCGCTGCCTGCCAAGCTACAGCTACAAAAGCCGTCAATGCAGCTAACAGTGCCATTAGACTTGCCAGAGCTTCCTGATCCACCAATATCTCCTGATCCTGGGTCCCCTGATCTGCCTATGCTTCCTGACCCAGAGCCTCTTGACCCACTGCAATTGTCTGAATTGCCAGTGCCTCCTGACCTGCTGGTGCTTCCTGACCCAGAGCTTCCAGACCCAACCGGGTTTTCTGATTTGATGGTGTCTCCTGATCCAAAGCTTCTTAAGCCAGAATCTCCTCACCCACCGAAGTAGTCTGACCTGCCCGTGTCTCCGGATCCAAAGCCTCTTGACCCAGAACCCCAAGATTTGCCTCAGTGCCACACTTCATGGCCTCTTCTGCTCCATGCTCCAGGTCCACTTCTGCTGCATGGGCCTGGCCCTCCTTCCCTCCTTCATACACCTGGATTACAAATCCTATCATGCCTTGCATCCAAAGAGCAATTTCAGTTCACCCTCTGATTACCTGGACTATAAACAGACCACTCTCACTCTCAACATTTGTTGAGTATTGTCTAGTGGTTGCATTCATCACAAAGTATTTCCTTGTTTTGACCTTTGAATTGTTTATTATTTTTTTATCATTTGCCACCTGTCTTGACCATTTACCTTTTACAAGGATTTACGCTCTTAGCTGTCTTTCGGATGAGATGTTAAACCGAGGTCCTGATTCTCTGTGGCAATTCTCATAAAGAGTAGGGGTTTAACCCCGGTGCCATGGCCAAATTACCTCTCTGCCCTTAACCATCATGGCCTCCCAATCATCCCCATCCACCGAACTGGCTTTATCATTGTCTCTCCACTACACTTATAGCTGGTGTGTGGTAAGTGCACTGGTGCCATTGTCCTTTGGCTGCCGTCGCATCATCCAAGTGGATTCCACACACTGGTGGTGGTGTGGAGAGACCCCCCTCATGATTGTGAAGCGCTTTGGGTGTATGGACATACACAATAATTTTGATACACAAATACACATTACATTACATTACATAGATTATTTCTGTTGTTGTGATTGCTGGCTTTTGGCCCCTGATCTGACTGTTCTTAATAAATACTGCATTTGGATCTAATCACTTTTTTCACATCTCTCACTCATTTGAAAATTGCAATACTGTAATATCATTACAATACCTTTCTCTCTAGATCCCCAGCACATATACCTTTTTGCTTGTTCTGGTTTAGATGAAGGCCCGTATTCCAAAAAAAAACTATATGTGTTGTGATTGGTAAATTGCTCAGATGGCGTTTTAGTACAGCTGTGCTTCATCACCAAGCAACAGTAAGTTGCAGATAGACTGCCAGCTGAATATAAGAGAGAGAAAAAGAACTGCATTTATCGTCCCAGAATCCCCTGTGAAACACTCTGCTCTGCTGGTATCCATGCTCTATTGCAAAAGTTACATCATACCAAAGACTATAGAATAGGGACTTAGGTTATACTTTCCATACACTCTGTCTATAAACTCCAGTGGACCTATTTTACAGGAGCTTCTGGGAGGTGTCTTTTATCAATGTATTCAAGGATCTTTGTATTTTAGCAGTCATTCGACTACACATGTTCAAGCATAACAAAACATGTATGGTTTGTCAAATAGTCGCTGGTGCATATAACCATGGCAATGATAATCATTTTAGACATAATCTGATGACACATTGTTTAGGGAGCTAGACAGTTTACTTTATTCCTCTCCCAGTTAAACAGACACATGTACTTTCATGTGTTTTGTGAGTAGTTGATAAGTGTGTGTGTGTCTGTGTGCTTTAAATCCAGCAGCTCTAATCTCCACTGCAGTGCAGCCCATCAGTCATCAAATATCAACTAATATGATCATTATTAAAATCTTACCCATATTTAACAATCAGAATATCAAACATCTCACAATATCATTAATTTGAGCTGAGAATATTGGTCAAGAGCATTCTCACCTTTACATGCACATACATTGCAAGGCATATTACAATGGTGATGTTATTGTTATTTTAATTTCTATAACCAGGATTTGGGCCGGACGACAATGCATGCAGTCCATTGAGCCATTCATTTTGGTTCTAAAATACCACCCCCTTCCCCTCAAAACTAAGTATCTCCCTTTGGAGGGGATTTTGAGATTTGTTTTAGATCTTTTTTATGTCCAAACATACATACACTACACTCCACACTAAAACGTTCTAAAAGAGAAAAAGCATTATGGGACCCTTAAAAAACACAAGATAAGATTGTGAAAGTACATATAAAAATAGATTTAAGTTCCACTTAAGTGGTTTTAAAAACAATGAAAAGTTGAACTAATCGGTTTCAATATAATTTTGCAATCTGATAATTTTTTAAAAATAATTACAAATCAGTTGCACTTAAGTGGCAAAATATTGCACTTAGCTTACAATTATGTGAATTAGTTTATAATATATCAATTGCACAATAAGTGACCCTTATAAAAGTGTGCTAAAGTGCACTTTTTCGCAAAGGGTGTCAGTCGGTGTGGTGCTGGTCTCGTTCGGCACAAAAGCTATGTTAGCACAGATATGACTGGGGTGTGATGTGAGCAAGAGGCAGCAGCACATACTGAGTCTGGGTCGCTGATGGACACTTGCTCAGAAAAGCGCACTTTGGGGGGATTGGTTCGCAGACGAGCTTTCTTGGCTGCACTTATGAAGGCAGACTTAGGTGACTAAGAAAAGACAAAGGGAGAGTGGGAAGGAAAAAAGAATAGACATGAAAACACAGGTTAAGAATAGTTCATTTTAGAATAACATTTTGAAATATATAATGATGTAGAATTTATACAAATAATAACAAACATAATTTTGTAAGATAAAATATTATATTATTTTGCCATTTGTATGCTAATAAAACAACAAACTAATTAAAAATGGGGTTATGACACTTAATTCTAGATAGACTTTGAATATTCACGTTTAGCAATTTTAAATCTCATAAAAAGTGTGTCTTATTTTTAGAAAGTTATACATTTTTACTGGAAAACAATAACAAAATAGGGATTAAAAGACATTTAGCAGTGTATGTTTGAAATTGGTGAATACATTTTGAACATTCTATTCAAAAACATGCAGTGCTTTGACCCAGATAAGCATTGTAAATAGACTGGGCCCTTTTAAAAGGTTATTAATTGTTATCTTAAAGTTTAGAGTTCTGTTACAGTGCATGCCATATGATGACATGGTTTATTCAGTAGCTTGGTCCTTTGTCCCATTTGAGCTCAGTTCTTAAAATAGACATTTTACAACTGAGCTTTAGTTTCCATATATTAACTATGAAATTATTTGTATAATAATACATTCTGGAACAGATGCAAAAAAGCAAATCATGTTTTTAAAGCAGCACCTGATGTTCAACATAAATTCCAGCAAAAATGTACAGAAATAAAACTGAATAATAGTTTGATTATGGCACTGAGAAATACTCATTTAATATAATTAAGACCGTAGAAGATCTCATTTTGTGAGCTACCTGTTGTGGTTGCAGCACAGTGAGAACAATCGAGTCCCTGCAACACCTGCAGAAAAATAAAGTTTAGCAAGCAAGCAGCAGCATATAAAATGAGTCTTATCTGGGGTTATTTCTCTTATCTGATGGAGACACAAAGCACAGAAAACATAATGCACAGTCATGCTTCCAGAAGAGGCCCTTCCTTCTGGTGAAAGTAAAGGGTGTTACCTTACAAGGTCTATGACTTTCTCCCGGGGAACGTCGCTCACAAGTTCCTGGTTGATGGCTAGGATCTGATCTCCGGGATAAAGCTTGCCACTTGATGGTCCGTCTGTATTGGAAACATGTCATAAACTTATGTGCTTAATAGGATTTTCTTTTTACATTTTTCCTTAAATGTTTGTATAGTTCATTAAATTATTTTAGTCATGCTTGTTTCTTATAATAATCTATTGATTTGCATTGTAATAAAAATATTTGCTACTGACTCTCTTGCAAGAAATTGTTATTCTAAAAAATATTGAAAACTGACCCTCTCATGTTTTGTGTGATGGGCTGTTTGCAGCATGTGCCAAACTTTCAACTGCATTCTGTCCAGGGTTGATCACAAACTTTGGGTTAAAACCTTTAGTTATGAAACAACTTAACCTGGGGGGTATTCCAGAAAGCTGGGTTAACTTACCATCTGCTAAAACCTAAACTCTCGGTTGATTTACCCAAAACCTGCTTATCGCGAGTATGTTGGTTCCAAAACAGGTGACAAGAGTTAGTTAAATCAACCTCCTGAAGATAACCGCGGGTTAATGCGCGTGCACGGCCCACACCTGAAGGCATTTTCAGTAGATCGCCGAATTCACGAGTCACCATAGAAAGTCACGGTGAGAAAAAAAGGGCAACGCACTTTACAGAGGCAAAGCTGGAGGTTTTAAACACAGAGATTACACATCTGCTTCAACGAAGGAAAGAAATATAGAATAAGAAATAGATAAGAAAATAAAAAATAAATAATAAGAAAATTTATTAGTTCATTAAATAACACATGCCACCCTCCATTTTATTGTAATGATAAATTAAACTACTCTTTAACACCCTTTTTGAGTATGTTGTGTAACCATTCATGCATGTATTTTTCTTGCCATTAATTTCTTAAGGCCACAATATGTGTGTTGACTAATAAGGCTTAAAGAAATTGTAATCTTTCTGGAGCTAGAACTCTGTCCAAAGTCATTAAACACAGAAACATTATCATAAAAGGTAATATTTAATTACTGGAGCTCTTTATTTAACACTCTAGAATATTCTTTCTGACATGCAGCTAATAGAAAGAGGCCTGTCTAACTGCTGTGTCCTATAATAAAGGCTTTTCAGTGGTTGAGTTTTTCACTTAAACCACACACTCTGTCACTGTTGTAAGTGATTGTTGTCAGATAGCTTTAGGTTCTTTTTATTTTGCATGCAGACGAAGTTTAACAAGCAGTGTAAGAATTTTCTGCACTTTTCCATATTTGAATATTACTCTTGGATCACAAAATCTTTTATCTACATATTTAAATTCTAAAGTAGCTGTATAAGGTCCATCTTCAAAGATAAAGTCACATGAGCATCAACTTAAGGTGAGAAATGTATATGAAAAATATGTTACACGTTGAAAGGTGCGTGTATAAAGCAGTGTAAAAAAATGATTCATTTTATTTCAGGAAATGAAGAAATGAACAGACCAAACTATTTGATTAAACATAGTTTTTTGACTAATTATATATTTTTAGCACTCTTCCATCTGTTTTGTCTGCTTGGGTCACTGAGATTTCCTCTGGGTCAGGCTGCAGGTACGTGTCATCGTATAAGGCAGAAAAGGGTATCTTTTGTCCTCCAGCAAGTAACAATGTAGTGCCCAGTAATGATTCTATTTTATAATACAAATATAATTAAAATAAACATTGTGTAAAGCAACATTTGCTTTATAGTTTTTTTTTAAACTATATTTATGTTATACACTTGAATCATTACTTCCTGAAAATCAGCCATTTAGCCTCAACATAGTGATGAGGTGGGGTGTGTGATGAGCTGGTAAGTGGAAGCAGTAATGAGTTTAATAGTTGAAACACCAAAAGATTAAGGATAGAAAATTAAGTTGTACCTGCACACTTATACTTTGGACAAATTTTATATTATCAGTGTCCTTTAGTGACTGATGGAGCTTTAAAATTAATGCACTCAATAGCATTTAGAAACCCTGAAAAAAATATTATATTAAAAAATGTAGGTGTGTGTGCGTGAATGTATATATAAGACTGACGTCCTACATCTTAAATTAAAGATATATTTTCCTACAAAAGACAAAGCTGCCACTTTATAATATTATACAGAAAAATGTGAGGGTGCAGAAGGAGAGAAAAAACACAAGATCTATAAGTGAGATTCGAACTTGCTCCGTTGTGCGCTCCGTTGTTCTTTATCGATGCACTGTCCACTACGCTATTCCCATGCTCTGAACCATCTGTGTAATGATACGCAGTAATGTATGACCAAGGAACTGTACAAAAGTGTAAAAAACAGTTCAGTGCCAGGCATACTGTACAGGTGGTCATACTGCCACATTGTACAGTTGACTAAAATGCCCTGACGCGAATACAAAGAGCTGCACTGAATGTTTTTTTATGGTAAGCGCAGACCCGCGGTTTGTCACATTTGATTTCAAAAAGGTTTGTTAAATACATTAACATTATAAATTTGGTTATGAAAAAAACTATGCGCTTATAACCCTCTCACAACGAAAAAACTTGTATCTGTGTGTCCACATCCATAAATATTCTCATCAATAGAGCACGCAATGCTCAGTAAACTCTCTGAAACAGACAAACTCTGAAACATAGCAACTTACTCTCTGAACATAACCTGCTCCGGAGCAGGTTATCTTCAGAGAGTAAGTTGCTATGGCTACTTAACATATCCAGAAGTTACCTCCAATTTTGGAACCAAAGTTGAGGTTATCCACCTACTTACTCTCAAACTTACCCGTGTATGTCACATAACCTGCTTTCTGGAACAGCCCCCTGATCTAAACCAGGCAACTCAGAGTTTGTTCAACTTGTTTTGTGCAGCAGGCCTCTAATGCCCAAAGTGAGTGTCTTAACTCACTGAACTAACTCCTAAAACATACAGGGAGAGCTGAGTCTTATATAAAACAGACAACACAAAAGACACAAGAGACAAAAGTTGAACACAAAGAAAGACTGAGCCCAAGACCAAGCAACTGGACTGGATCAAGATTGAACACATTAGTAGGGAACAAACAGGCAAATAAAGGGTCAAACACAGGTGTAGGGAATCAAGGGCAAATAAACCTATACAGAGTGTGGTTGGAGTAGTGGTGCGACCCAGAGAAGTGGTGAGGTATAAATGGAGGGCATGAAGAAAGTGGCCCCTATTGGCCTCCTCTACTAACAGCTCTTGATATTCCCCTGGTAGTTTCCTTTGGCATAGTGAAACTCAGAGATGAGGACGGGGTTCAAGATTTCCCAAGATGGGACCTAACTTGCTCTTCTGGGCCATAACCCTCATAATACACCAGCTTTTATCAGAGTTGAAAAATAATGTATTTTATTACTTGGTGTCTCCAGGATGTGTTTGTAAAATTCTGTGCTCTGAAGACTGAACCAGAAAGTTTCCCAATGGCTATTTGACTGTGTAGAGTTTATTCAAGATGAGTCAGAATACACAAATGTCACAACAAAGTTTGCGGTACACACATGTATTTTATTACATTTTCATGCTCCGGATAGACCTGAAACATATTATTCTTTCCCTATAGGCTATATGTCACACATTATTCTGTAATCCTAAGTAAAGGAAAGTGTTAAGTGTTTCAGCACATAAGAGCAAGTAAAATATGGCCTATATTTCGTTGCGCTCAGCAGCTTTTTACTAATAAAGCTCTTCATGTTTTTAAAATTAATTTTTTTTATTTTATCACGTCATATAAAAACATAAATACTTTCTTTGAGGACATAGAACACATTTTGTATTTGCAGTTTTCCCCACTGCGTTTTTAAGGCGGTGCTGCACAGGAGTGGCAAAAAAAAAGTTGCTTAGTTTCTGCTTTTACTCACCCAAAAATTGCTCTGTTTGCACAATTTGATTAATATAATCGAATCCAAATACTTTATACATAATATTTCAAACCTTTTCTGGTTTTATTGTTTTTAGAAAATATCTAAAATCCTTTTTTTTTCAGATAGGACTTTGTAAAATGAAAGTTTATTATGGCTTTAAAACTGTTTGATTTATGTATTGTATATATCTAAATTGTTATAACAAGCTTTTGTTTGTTTTATATTGGTTTATTAATTTTATGTGATTTTATTATATCCAATATTTGTAATTCTTTAAATTATTTCAATATAGCTTAGGCTATTTTATCAAGATATGACACAATTATTTTGAGTCTACAAAAGTGAACACATAATTTGTTAAGTTTTATGTCTTTCTGTAGTATTCATATTGTGTATTATCTGCAAAAAAAAAAAAAAAAAAAAAAAGAAAGAAGCCGCTAGCGGCATCAACAGAGCTGTAAAGGGATAACCTGTGAAGGAATCGCTCTTTTGCTCGGTCTTACACACATACAGGCATCCAAACTTGCACAAACACACCATTTAAACTTTACAAAAACTCTCGAAAACCTTTATTGTCTGCTGTGTCTTTAATATGGTGTAAAGATTACTACGCATCAGGGAGGACGCAGCAAAGAATGTCACTTGTTAAATTATTATTATTATTTTATCACTTATAAAACTTTATTATTTAATGCAACAGTCTTAAATTTAAAAGGGAAACATAAGGGTGATCATGCACAAAGAGACCCTAGCCTATAAAGCTAGATGTTTTCTTTACCTTATTTATTTATTTGTTTGGCACATGTACTCGTGTGCGTTCAAAAAACTAGTGCCTGCCTCTCCTTTCACTTTGACCCCAAACTCCAGCTGGCCCTGTCTGGCCCAAGGTATTCGGCGGACCGAAAAAGGCTGGCCGCTGGACCCGAGAAAGCCCCGCTCTGGCACAATTAGGCCCCGGAAGTGACAGTGAAAACGTGACTGGCCTTGGCTCGCCCTGGTTTGCTCATTTTAGGCACGATAGTGGAAATGCAGCTATTCCGACAGATGCTTCCAGTATGAGCTGGGGGCTGTGTATATCAAGCATGCAGCTGCAGGTTCGTAAACCGGACTTTGGTGGCATTGGCATTTCAGTTGCCTGGAGCTGTTGGCAGTGTTTCTTGTACTCCACTGGTCCCTACCGGTGCAGGAGCACAAACACATGTTGGTTAGGATGGTCAGC